ATGTGGCAGCCGGCAACATCTGCAGGCAGAAGGAGGGAGCCGCAAACTCTGATTAGGTGGGGGCGCTGCCCATCGGATGTCTGCTGGCCCCGTCCTTGCCTCTGGCCCGGCAAGGTCTCAGGGCCCGTTCACACCCTTCTGTTGTTTTTATTGCGACTAATGCACACCTTCCATGCATTGTAGCGCAGCAGGTGCGTTGCGTAGCCATTTCAATGGCACCTAAACGCACCTTCTGGCCACAATGGGCTGCCATGCAGTGCAACATGTGGTTCTGCATTACCATGCGTTGCACTGGAAAAAAGTAGAGCGTGCACTTACTCATGCACTTTTTTCAGCTGAAATGAATGGTAGTGTGTGCTGGGTGGAGGACCTTGGCTGGGTTGGGGCCCCTGTCAGTTGGGCTGTACAGGGCCCCATGATTTCTAATGTTGGCCCTTAGTGGAGGCCGGATACTGTCCCTGGTGTCAGTCTGACCTGCAGTGCTGGTGTCATCAGAGGGCTGGATGTACATCGGGAGATATGCTATGCCGGGAAACGAAAAAGCAGTTTGAGGAGAGCCGGCACGGAATGAGAACGCGGCGGATGTGAACGTTACTCACCCTTCTACTATGGAAACGATGTCACCCGGAGGCGGGCTTTAATATCTCAGACACGAAACGTGTAAAGGAGAACTATGAGGGGGGAGGGGCTTTTCACTCACCTCATAGTTCGGGGCGACGTGTGACAATGAGACTGTCACAGGTCGGCTCAGTAGATCGGGAGGTGAGCGAACACATACCGGCGTTCACTCACCTCTCGATCCTGTCACGGCTCTCTGCCGTGACAGGGGAGGGGCTGGATTCCCGCCTCCCCGCTCCGATCCGCCAGCGCTGACTGGCGGAACGGACGGGGGAGGGTACAGCTGTTGACGGGAAGAAAGAGCAGAGTGACAGAGATGAGCTCATAACTCTTTTCACTTTCCAATCATGGGCTGGGGGCAGGACCAGGACAACCTGGGATCCGAAGAAGTGGGTCGACTGGTGCTGGCCTTCAGACTGATGACATCTAGTGGCAGAAAAAAGTACTGTGGGGGGTAAATCTCAGGTTGAAAGGTGAAAATTGCAGCAAAAGATGGTTTTATTTAATCTTTTAATGAGCTGTTCATTTATATCTCGCATTTATTTTGGGCTGAAGTTCTGCTTTAAATGAGGACGGATCCTCGTTATGAGGAATGACTGACTCTTCCATCTTTGTTCGGCTGCGGGCTGCAGGTGCATTTTGTTCCAGATGGTGGCGCCGTGGCACAGATTGTATACAGCGATGACCAGGATCGCTCATCGCAGCAAGTGGTGTACACGGCGGATGGCTCGTCGTTCACATCAGTGGACGCCTCTGAACACACCCTGGTCTACATTCACCCTGTGGATGGCTCTCAGGTAATTGCTCGGCATGGGGAAAGTAGCACAAAAATTCTAATATCAGTTTTAATTAAAGTAGGGCTGTGCAAATTAACGATTAATTTCTCGATTAATCGTTAATCTTTTTGATCGATTAAAGATTTTTTTGATCGCTAATGAAAACACTCCCCTCTCTGCCGGCTTCCGGGAGTCCCGTCGGAGATCCGGGGACGTCACGGACATCGACGTCACCGGACTCCTCCCCCCTTCCCCAAGTGGCTCAGTCGGCTAACAAAGGGAAGGGGGGAGGAGTCCGGTGACATCACGGATATCGACGTCACCGTACTCCTCCCCCCTTCCCCAAGTGGCTCTGTTGGCTAATAAAGGGAAGGGGGGAGGAGTCCGGTGACGTAGATATGGCCCCGTCCTTGCCTCTGGCCCGGCAAGGTCTCAGGGCCCGTTCACACCCTTCTGTTGTTTTTATTGCGACTAATGCACACCTTCCATGCATTGTAGCGCAGCAGGTGCGTTGCGTAGCCATTTCAATGGCACCTAAACGCACCTTCTGGCCACAATGGGCTGCCATGCAGTGCAACATGTGGTTCTGCATTACCATGCGTTGCACTGGAAAAAAGTAGAGCGTGCACTTACTCATGCACTTTTTTCAGCTGAAATGAATGGTAGTGTGTGCTGGGTGGAGGACCTTGGCTGGGTTGGGGCCCCTGTCAGTTGGGCTGTACAGGGCCCCATGATTTCTAATGTTGGCCCTTAGTGGAGGCCGGATACTGTCCCTGGTGTCAGTCTGACCTGCAGTGCTGGTGTCATCAGAGGGCTGGATGTACATCGGGAGATATGCTATGCCGGGAAACGAAAAAGCAGTTTGAGGAGAGCCGGCACGGAATGAGAACGCGGCGGATGTGAACGTTACTCACCCTTCTACTATGGAAACGATGTCACCCGGAGGCGGGCTTTAATATCTCAGACACGAAACGTGTAAAGGAGAACTATGAGGGGGGAGGGGCTTTTCACTCACCTCATAGTTCGGGGCGACGTGTGACAATGAGACTGTCACAGGTCGGCTCAGTAGATCGGGAGGTGAGCGAACACATACCGGCGTTCACTCACCTCTCGATCCTGTCACGGCTCTCTGCCGTGACAGGGGAGGGGCTGGATTCCCGCCTCCCCGCTCCGATCCGCCAGCGCTGACTGGCGGAACGGACGGGGGAGGGTACAGCTGTTGACGGGAAGAAAGAGCAGAGTGACAGAGATGAGCTCATAACTCTTTTCACTTTCCAATCATGGGCTGGGGGCAGGACCAGGACAACCTGGGATCCGAAGAAGTGGGTCGACTGGTGCTGGCCTTCAGACTGATGACATCTAGTGGCAGAAAAAAGTACTGTGGGGGGTAAATCTCAGGTTGAAAGGTGAAAATTGCAGCAAAAGATGGTTTTATTTAATCTTTTAATGAGCTGTTCATTTATATCTCGCATTTATTTTGGGCTGAAGTTCTGCTTTAAATGAGGACGGATCCTCGTTATGAGGAATGACTGACTCTTCCATCTTTGTTCGGCTGCGGGCTGCAGGTGCATTTTGTTCCAGATGGTGGCGCCGTGGCACAGATTGTATACAGCGATGACCAGGATCGCTCATCGCAGCAAGTGGTGTACACGGCGGATGGCTCGTCGTTCACATCAGTGGACGCCTCTGAACACACCCTGGTCTACATTCACCCTGTGGATGGCTCTCAGGTAATTGCTCGGCATGGGGAAAGTAGCACAAAAATTCTAATATCAGTTTTAATTAAAGTAGGGCTGTGCAAATTAACGATTAATTTCTCGATTAATCGTTAATCTTTTTGATCGATTAAAGATTTTTTTGATCGCTAATGAAAACACTCCCCTCTCTGCCGGCTTCCGGGAGTCCCGTCGGAGATCCGGGGACGTCACGGACATCGACGTCACCGGACTCCTCCCCCCTTCCCCAAGTGGCTCTGTTGGCTAATAAAGGGAAGGGGGGAGGAGTCCGGTGACATCACGGATATCGACGTCACCGTACTCCTCCCCCCTTCCCCAAGTGGCTCTGTTGGCTAATAAAGGGAAGGGGGGAGGAGTCCGGTGACGTCGATGTCCGTGACGTCACCGGACTCCTCCCACCTTCCCTTTGTTAGCCGACTGAGCCACTTGGGTCGGTGAGTTGCCCAAGAAACTTTTCTGCACGAGCGCCAGCCAAGGCATTGGCCTATACACATACAGCATAGCAATGACCTATACACATACAGCACAGCAATGGCCTGTACACATACAGCATAGCAATGACCTATACACATACAGCACAGCAATGGCCTATACACATACAGCATAGCAATGACCTATACACATACAGCACAGCAATGGCCTGTACACATACAGCATAGCAATGACCTATACACATACAGCACAGCAATGAAGTCATAAAATGAACTAGTATCACACTAATCCAGCACGTTATTAATCTGAGTTGCCCCACTCAAGCGGCGGCCATATTGAGTGGGGCACGTGAGATTAATACCGTGCTGGATGATTGTGATCCTAGTTCATTTTATGACCTCATTGCTGTGCTGTATGTGTATAGGCCAATGCAGTTGGATCTGTATGTGCGTTATAATTAATCGAAATTAATCGATTAATCGGTTAAAAAATTTTTTATTAATCGAACACGAAAATTTTAATCATTACCTGTCTTAATTAAAGTGAATAAAAATCATTTTTTTCTTTGCAGACTCTCTTCACAGACCAGCCGCAGGTTGCTTACGTTCAGCAAGACGCTACTACCCAGCAGGTAACATTCCTGTATTATCGTTGCTGCAATCTGACGTTGTTCTTTATATGTTCCTATTACTCACCCGGATCTCATGTCCTGCGTATGTCTTACCATTGACTGACTTATCTTATCATCCACTGGAGGACTCGGTATCATGGGGTGTAAGTTCTCCCTATAGAATCAGTGACACCATGAAAGCCAATGTCTCCTTTCTGCTAGAGGTGCACCGAAATGGACATTTTAAAACCGAAACGGAAAAAAAAAAATTGTCAAACCGAAAATGTTCTTTTAATTTTATTTTTTTCACATTTTTAAAATATTTTATTTTTATAAACTTTTTAAAATTTATTTTTATTTATTAATTTTTTATTAAATATTTTTATTTTTTACTTTACTTTTAGGGGCTTTGGGGAAATATTAGGAGTCTAAACAGAGTCCTGATATTTCCCTTTTTTACAATTGAAAAAGAGATTGAGAACACAAAGTCCTCGGAGACGCGCTCAGAGTCCTCGGAGACGCGCGCAGAGTCCTCCAATCTCTTTTTCTGTATCCCCTGTTATCAATGAACATGAATCCTTATACTGAGTGTTCCTGTTCATTCATAACATGAGGACAGAGTGTGTTTACTATATCCACAATCATGAATGAACAGGAAGTGATGTAGATGTGATGTAGATCACTTCCCATTCATTCATAATTGAGGATATAGTAACCATTCTCTGTCCTCAATTATCTACAAACACTCAGCGATCACTGATCAATGGCTCCTTGTACCCGCTCTCCTCTCTAACACGCTGTCACAGGAGGCTGAGCGAGTGGTTTTGAGGAGGGGAGCTCAGCCTCCTGTGACAGCGCCGGCAGTCTCTGCCCCCACACTGCTCTGCCGGACTGTGATAGGAGGCTGAGCGGTGTGGGAGGAGAGACGCCGGCCGCTCACAGCGCTCTCCTACCGCAGCGCTCGGCCGACTGTCACACTTTCTCTCCTCCCCGCTGGGACACAGAGCAGCGCCTAGCGGGGAGGAAAGAAAACACGGATGCGTCGCTGTATCGGCAGGAAAATGGCACTTTCGGCATTTAACCAAAAGTGCCATTTTCGGCCGGTATGTTTTGGCGGCCGATATATCGGTGCATCACTAATTTCTGGGTTATACCCTCACATTTCCTGCCAACAGAAGGATTGAATCTACAAATGAAAAACTGAGCCTGTCACTAGAAACTGCTACAAGGTGTCCATGCTTAGTAATAACCGATGCCGTATGGCTTGTTTACACCACGCCCATTGAGCTGTGTTGATCTGCATAGGTCAACGCAAGGGAACATAGAAAACAAACCTCTGGCTCTCTGCTCCCGGGTTCAGTCTCTATAGTCCAGGAGGCGTCCAACCCTCCACTTTTCTGTTCTGGTCTTGATGGTGGCCTCCTTTTGAGGGAGTCTTGTATGGCCAGTTTCATACTGGACTGTTGCAACTCTACCTGCTGGCTGCTAGAGACAAGAAGGCTCATTCTTTGGACAAATCAATGCATCTGAACCCCAAGACCAGGCTATGCTTGGCCCGGTGGCTTATGACTCCTACCCTGGGGTCAGAAAAATCCTGCTTTCCAATACCAGTAAAGGTTCTGAAGACAAAACCAGCTTGATGGGCTGAAGAGGAGTCCTAGACACCATCTCAGTGCAAGGGACCTGGGTGCCGGAGGAAGATTATCTCCAATCAACATACAGGAGCTACAAACAATTTGGCTATTCCTCCAATGTTGGACCTCTCAAGGTCATCGGGCCAGCATCACTCGACCTCAAGGTCATCTGACCTGCATCAATCAGACAATCCCTGGACTTGGGAATTGTCTCTACATCGGGAGGTGTTTCGCAACCTCTGTCGCAAGGTGGAGAACGCCAGGCATGAACTTCCTGGCTTCAAGATTCACCAGGTCCAAGGATCCTGTAGCCTTACCATTGGACGGTGTGGTAACTCCATGGGATCAGTTCAATCTGTTCTCTGCCTTTGCTCCTCTGAAGCTCCTAGCTCATTTGGAGGGCATCCTGGTGATGCACAACACACCCAACTTGCCCAGGTGGATGTGATACTCGAACATCATCAGACTTGTGATGGACTCTCCATGGGCTGTTCTGGATTGGCCAGATCTACTGTCCCGAGGACCAGTCTACCACCATGCTTCTCGTTCGCTGGCTTTAATGACCAGGCTGTTGAGACTCTGGTCCTAGGGGATAGGGACCTATCCGACTCTGTAATCCCTACGCTTTTCAAAGTTGGGAAATGAATTTATTGTAAAGTTGACCATTGCACTCGGAAGGTGTACTTCTTGTGGTGCAAGGCGACGAAATTCCTTCTGAGGAAATACTCCATGGGACAAATCCTGACCTGACCCTTTGATCCCCAGTTGGGACTGGATCAATACTTGGCCCTAAGTACCATTGAGGGTGAAGCCTCAGCCCTAGCAGTTGTCTTCAAAAGACGGCTTGCCTCTTGACTCCGTAGTGGAAGCTTTCATTCATGGTGGCGCTCACATAGTCCCTTCTTTTCATCACTTAGTCCCTCCTAATTGTGTATAGCAGCATCCTGGGCTTTCAGATCACTGAGAGGGAAGTGAGATCAATATAACTGAAGTCTAGCGTGGGCTTTAAGGCTTCTTCACTTTGTCAACTGCAACGCTATTTCAAAGTGTAAATCGCTGGGGCTGGTGTATGAAACCTTGAGGGAAATGCAAAGCTCTTGGCACGATGGAATACAAAGTGGGAGCCAAAATACCCCTCCCCCCAGTATAGAGCATCAATAAAGGGATATGTTTGCCACTCCTGAGCCCATAATACCAGGTCATCCGCCTAGTAAACCCGGTGTCAGAAGCCAGGCAGGGGCTCGTCCTATGCCATGGACTGCCAGTGAATCCAGAAAAGAAAGACAACCTTGTCTGGGGACCTCCTGCTCCTCTGATGTGTTTCACCCAATAATCTGTGCTTCTTCACAGAGACGAGGAGGGTAGCGGTGTCTATGCAGCCAAAGAGCTGCTTAAAGAGACATACACACTCTAATAATATTACAGCTCACAATGTCTTAAAAAGGATAGCATCATAAGGGAGAGGGTTTCCTATGATGCTGTTTGACTGTGATGCTCTTTTAGTATAGAGTTGTTGGACTTGGGTCGAGTGCTGTATTTCAGCTATAGCCTTTTACCGTATTGGCTGTGCAATGACACCGATCATCTCTCACGTTGGTGCCTTTGTTTCAGGTGACCGTGTTGCTTCCTGCTGGCCAGACCATGAATACCGCTAACCTGGCAGTCCTCAGAAGTGTCCCCGACTCTGCCCAAGCCATGTCTTTGGAGTCTATGTCACAGGTAAGCCTAGGCGTGGTATAGGTCAGCAGAAGGTGACGTTTTACATTTATTTCAGATTTTTTTTTTTTCTATTAGTTGCCCAGAATCTTTTTTTTTTTCCTAGTGTTGAATAGTTTTATAAAGGAAGGAACTGAAACTGCACCCAAAAGGCAGGGGGGGAGGGTGGGAGCAAACCAATGACCTACCATGCCTCATTCCTAACTGTGTGTGTGGAGAGCAGTGAGCGGCTCAGCCATGACATTACTAAGCCCTCGTTCACACCTGTACGTTTTGTAGCGCGTTCTACGCTCGACGAACGCTCTACAAAACGCTCAAAAATATAAATCCCATTGTATTCAATGGTCTCGTTCCCGCCTCGGCGTATTTCCGCCTGTCCCTAACGCGCTACAAAACGGCCCACGCCTGAAAAGGTACAGGTACTACTTTGGGCCGTTTTGTTGCGCGTTTCCATTCGGATACAGCCAAGTAGCCTTCGGAAATGCGCGTTTGTGGCGCAATTTTTTTTTTACCGTGAATCGCGGTTAAAAAAAACGTGCGGCTGTCGCGCGACAGACGCGCATATGCAATACGCCTAGGTGTGAACGAGACCTAAATCTCCCTGCAAACCTAGTGAGACTTAACAGTCAGAGATTGCAGTGCCTTAGGTGATCTCACACTGCAGCTGTGAGACTGTAGGCACCAGAGGAAGCGCACTGCGCGCTTTCAGACTCATTCCTGACACAAAGTAGATTTTTCAGGGCACGTGCCTGATGAAGGGTTCCTGCTCAGCCCCAAAAAGGTTACATTGTCTGCACTAGGATGTGATCTTTTCAATAAAAACTTGGCCTAAGGATCAAGATAAAAGATCTTTGGTATGCTGGCAACATTTTCATCTGTTTCATTCCGGTTAGGTCTTCAGTTGCCACAGCACCCTTTTATCTTCAGGCCCATTCCAGTAAGCGGTGCGATGGGAATAGTAGAAGTACCTTGGAACAATTAACGCTGTCAGGTGTTCCCTATGACATAGGAAATCTTCAATTCTTGAGTCTGATTCTGTCTGCAGGAAGTCGAATATATCTCCTTAAGGTAGACATTCCACTTCAGGCAAGGTCCACCTATTTAGTGCCCCCCCACCCCTTCCTTAAAGGAGAACTTTTCACTCGCCTCATAGTTCTAGCCGACCTGTGACAATGAGACTGTCACAGGTCGGCTCAGTAGATCGGGAGGTGAGAGAACACATACCGGCGCTCGCTCACCTCTCGATCCTGTCACGGCTCTCTGCTGTGACAGGGGGAGGGGCTGGATTCCCCCCTCCCCGCTCCGATCCGCCAGCGCTGACTGGCGGAACGGACGGGGGAGGGGGCGGGTACAGCTGGCTCTGCTTCTAGATAGGCAGAGCCAGTTGTCAATCACACAGCTGGGCGGATCCAGACAGTAATGTCCCGGCTGCGGCGGTCTCAGTATACCGCGAGCTGTAACTCCCTATATACTGAGCCTAGGGTGATGGGAGGACGCTAGTTTGTGTCCCCCCGTTACCCTAAGGAGAACTATGGGGGGAAGACCTGACCTCCTAATATACTTTCCGCTCCTGACTTCCATAGTGCAGAGTGTGACATCATCGTCCTTCGCAGAAATGATAAATAGCCCAAATCTCTGCTGAGGTCAGGGCAGCACAGTGCAGGATCATCTACTCCATGAGGTTTGGGCTACTAAACATTCTCCGAGATCTGGCCAGAAGGATGACGACGTCACCCTTGCCTAGGTGGTGCAGAAGGAAGCCGGTTTTCTATCATAAGCTCCAAATCGTCCAAATCTCCAACTACCTCACTGCCGGGTACTTGCAAGTTGGAGATTTCGACCAGGCGGAGTTAGATTGCAAAACACAAAGACTGGCGGAGCTTCTGTACAGCTGCATTTGAACAATATTCAGCAGGTAGCAAACTCGATGCGTATTCTGCAAAAACGCTATACGTGCATGCGCACCGCAACTGTACAGAGCTCCACTCTTTCTGAGCACCGGAAGTGAGGTAGTTGGAGCTTTCAATAGAACACTGGCAAGCTGTAAATCTATTATCTAGTGTCACC